AAGGAAACTGAGATACAAGAAGACTTAAACAACATAACGAAACAAGGAAAAAAAATCCAGGATATGAAAGAGGAAATTTACAAAGAGATTAATACCTTAAAAAAGAATGTAGCTGAAATCATGGAACTGAAAGATTCACTCAATGAAATAAAAAAACACAACTAATAGCTTAAGCAGCAGGCTAAAACAAGCAGAAGGAAAGATTTTCTGGTTTTTTTGTTTTTGTTTTTTTGGTGTCTGGCCATTAAAAGGATCTGAACCCTTAACCTTGGTGTTATAACACCACACTCTAATCAACTGAGCTTACTGGCCAGTCAGATTTTCTGATCTTGAAGATAGTCTTTTCAAAATAACCCAGGTGGATGGAAAAAAGAAAAAAATCTAAGAAAGCAAGCATACAACCATAAGTACACAAACATTTGAATTGTGGGTATTCTAGAAGGGGAGGAGAAAGGAAAAGGCATGGAAAACCTATTTAACAAAAACAGAAAACTTCCCAGGTATAGGAAGAGACACAGACATTCAGATCCAGGAGACTCAAAGGTCCCCAAATAGATTCAACCCAAAAAGATTCTCTCCAAGACACATTATAGTCAAACTGGCAAAGCTCAAACAAAGACAAACAGAGAATCTTGAAAGAAGCAAGAGAAAAGTTATCAAGCCACCTATAAGGGAGCCCCTATCAGACTAACAGCAGACTTTTCAACAGAAACTCTACAGGCCAGAATAAAATAGGATGATATATTTAAAATATTAAAAGAAAAAAACTGCCAGCCAAGAATATTATTTATAACCCGCAAGAACAGTATACCCAACCAAGAATACTATATTTCAGAAATGAAGGAAAAATAGTGTACTTTCCAGATAAACAAAAACTGTAGGAGTTTACCACCATGCGACCAGCCCTACAAGAAATCCTCATGGAAGTCCTGCATCTGGAATCCAAAAAACAATAATCACTACCACGAATACACCAGAAAGAACAATACCCACTGGTAGAACAAAAATACAAACAAGAAACTAAATCTTACCACCACGAAAACCACAATGACAACTAATAATGCCCCTGCTTTAACTCTAATATTTTTGGTCTTCTACCTTTTTTTTTTGGTCAGTCTAGACAGAGGTTTGCAAATTTTGTTGATCTTTTTAAAGAATCAATTTTTGGTTTTGTTGATTTTCTCTATTGTTTTTAAATTTCCTATTTCATATATTTCTGTTGTAATCTTTGTGTTTTTTTTTTTTTCCTTTTTGTCTTTTTTCATGACCGGCAACGGATTGCAACCCTCAGTGTCGCACCCGTACCGGCCCAGGACCGGCAACGGGATCGCAACCCTCCGTGTTGCTCCCTGCACCTCGCTCAGCCAGTGAGCGGGAACCGGTCTGTATGTGGGATCCGAACCCTCGGCGGGAGCGCCGCCGCGCTTCCCAAGCGGCGCACTGTAGCAGTGCGCCACCGGGCTGGCCCTGTTGTAATCTTTGTTATTTCCTACTTATATTTCTTTTGGTTAAGTTTCTTCTTTTTTTATTTTCTTAAGGCAGAAGTTTACATTACTGATTTGAGGTTTTTCTTATTTCTAATATAGGTGTTTACAAGTATAAATTTTCCTCTAATGGCTGCCCTAGAACCTATAAATGTTGATATGGTGTGCTTTGATTTTTATCTAAAAGTACACTCTGATTGATTTCCCTATGATTTTTCTTTTTACCCATTGTTTATTTAGGAGAGTGCTGTTTAATTTCCACACATTTGTTAATTTTCCTTCTGTTATTGTGGCCAAAGAACATATTTTCTATGATCTTAGTCTTTTTAAATGTATTAAGACTTTTTTTTGTGGTGAAAAGAAAAAAGAAAACAATAACGAAGTCAGATTACTCAGGACTTTAGCAAAAGCACTACTGTCCCCAAAGGGAGTATATCCGCTTACAGTTTATTAAGTAATCATCAAGTGAAAATAAGCAAAAACTTATGCAAGCTCTTAAACTGGTATTTAATTCTGTGTTCTGGGAAGCAATGTACAGTGATTAAAAAACCATGCTGTGTGTATCATGCAAGATCTGCTTAGAGAAGACAGCATTCATGTGGCTATGATATGGCCCAGATTTGGTAAGGATGGCTGGATTTCAGAAGAGCATCCTTTAGATGGCATGTCAGGAGATAAGACTCCTGCAATGAGAATAAGCTAATCAATTTGCCTACTGAGTAGAAAATGAAATAAATAAATCTATTTTTATGTAATTGTTTTCTATCTTGAGAAGTTAAACTGTTGAAGATACTCCAGGATGCAGAATATCATCCCAGCCTTGCCACATGCCTTTTCTAATTGGCACCCTGAAAGATTTCACAGGAAAAGGGTGTTACTTTGGTATTGTTGATTTAAAGATTATCTATCTAGTCATAGTGAGGCGGAGGAGAATTCCTCTTAAAAATTCACTTCCTTATTGAGAGCCCATGGAGTGTCTTGGCAATTAACAATTCCTATCACCTCTAGCTGTTCCCTATGTGAGAAGGCTCACAACTCGTCTTACAAATTGCTCTTTTGAAGATCAAAGGGAAGCTGAATGTGTCTGTGTGTGCTCTTGATGAAATTGTAATTTAATGGAATTTTTAGAGAGGGCTTTGCTGGCAGTGTTTGGAGGACAGCCCTGGGGCGGAGGATTCAGGGGAGCTTGGCCACTCTTCCCTTTGGAGCGTCTTCCCTGCCTTTAATTGGCACCTCATTAGAAATTAATGAAAATGACATCCTCTGTTCCTCCTGCTCTAGGCATCGAATGCTACAAAAAGGCCCATCACAATTCATAACACATTCAATTTATATAGCAATGGCTCTTAAGCATTATTTATGAGATGTGAATTTCTTGTCAGCAGTTAATAACCTGTACAGAATAGAAGGGGAATGGAAGAAAAGATAGCGAATATATATATATATGTATATATATATATATAAAAGATTTTCTGCAGTGAAGAAGTATTCTGTTTGAGTTCAAACTATCTTCCTGAGTCTTCACTTTCAGTAGTAAATTACCGTGTTTCTCCCCCACAAAACCTTTCAGGGCAGTTATATGTCTCTCCAACACTCCACGCATCCTCAAGGAAATAACTGTACAACTCGCCCTTTCCTAGAGATCCAAGCAGACAGGCAGGAGGAACACAAGAGCTATTTGTCAAAGACAGCCCCAGAGATGCATGCTTCCACTGCTGTCCATCTTTTAAAGTGTGGCAGTTGACTCAGTCATTTTTCTGGGCACATAAGTGTAATGATGTCAGTGGGCCAAATTGAACTACCAGCTCCCTCTAGGAAGGCTACTTCTGGAGAGAATGCAGAAAGCTCAGGACTTTCTTCCCCAATAGAAAAGTCAAATCTCTCTATAAATAGATGATCAGAATCAGGCACAAGCCAAGGCACTACATGTTACATCATTTAAAAAGAACGCACATCTGTGGCAAATGCAACAGCCACTTTAAAACTCAGCCTCTTGCCCAAGAGAGTAAAGAGCACAACAGAGTAATCTATACTGACCAGAGACAGTCAAATTGGTTTCACTTATGAGCACCTCAAGTCATATTTCTGGATTTTTTCAGCTGGGTGCTAATAAGACTTTATAGAATTAGGTGGTTTGCATCAAAGTTAAAGGCTAAACTAGGAGACTTGGTTACAACATCTCTGGATCTTAGCCCTACACTGTGAATTCTCACTGCTTACCTGACAAGGACAGGAAGCATTAGCCACTACCAGAAGCAAGACAGCACACTTGATGGACAAATTGCTTGATATGCTATGGCAAATCCTGTGAAATACCCAGGATTCGGTTACTTTCAAGAAGGAAACAAGAATATAAGGTACAGGAAAATCCCATGATTCTCATTTAGGAACGACCAAAGGCCTGTTATAAAAGCAACAGGCAAAACTGGCCAGATAGTCTGTACAATGCTGGTAACAAACTGAATTGATCAATCTCTCTAATAGTTCACATGAAGAGCAAAGCAAGAATTTGAAGACCGCAAGAGATTAGACAGACCCTTCAGTAAGGAGCCAAGTTGGTTAGCCATCAGATCCTAGAATTTCCTTGACTAACTGCCAGCAATAGCACTTATAGGATATCTATGGCTATCTCAAAGGTGAAAGGGGGCTTCCAAAGCTGACTTCTCAGGATAAAAGATAGAGGATTCTCAGAGGCTAGAGCCAGGCCTCAAAGTCTGCCTGATGACACCTCTGTTCCCCAGAACAATTTAATATTATTATGCTTTAAAATCAGGAAATAAAAACAGGTATAGGAAAACTGTTAAGTCAGCCTAAAATAATGCAGCCACACAATTTTGCTGCTTTGTGACATGATGTATGTGGTCAAGAAGAGAGAAAGAATTGGCTTAAGTTTTGTTCCACTGTGGGTAGGTAAAAAGTTTTAAAAAATACATTCCTGTGCAGCAATTCCAAGAGGTTGTATTAAGCTGGAGAATACAGAAAGAAAGTTTACTTGAAAGCTATTTTAAGGTATTAACTGGCTGGATGAATTAAGGTTAAAAACAAAAACACCTAATTTTTCTAATCAAACCTTAATTTGAAAGGGATATGAGGGAGAAATCTTCCATTTATCATAAATAGTTAAAAGCTCATTCAAAATTAATTTAATATCTGAATTATATGGTACATACCTTAGAATTCTGCTGCCTTGGTTAATTTCTAAAGTCACAAACAAGAAGGAACCAGAATAGTAAGTGGTGGGGAGAAGCTGAAAGCAGGGAACAGTGAAAACGTAACTCTAAGTCTGTGTCAAAGGAGTTGTTAATGTTTTTGTCTTTTTTGTATGTGTGAGAAGAAATGAAGGGTGTTTAGAAGCAGTATTCCTGTATTCCTGATTTCTCAAGCTCCCAACCTACTGCTTTCAGGGAGGCACTCAGGAGAAAAATAAAGAACTTCAGCCTTTCAGGAATAATTTCCAAAGCTGTGGCACAGTGTTAAGAACACAGTCTCCATCATGCCACTGGGGGAGAGGCTTACCACAGCGACATGATCCCAATTCTTGCTGCACCAGCTCCAGTTTGGTTTGGCACTGGAAGCACCGACGTCGACTCTTCTGTTTAGATCGGCTGGTTTCCTCAGACCGTTCAGTATTCTCCAGTAGTCGTGGTCGCTTCACTGGCGAAGCTTCATTTTCAGACTGTGAATCTGACCAAAACAACACATTCGGGGATCAGGATTAGTGCTTGGCCTGGCAAGCACAGGTTATTAATGTACTGCCAGGCATTCTTCTGACCAGGCTACTGCCTTTTTCCAGGAAGGAACTGGACCCCGTGTGAGCAAGAGAGCCGGTTCTGACTTGCCTGGTTTATACTGCACAAACTGTGACAAGCATGGACCTTTATGGTTGACTTCTAACAAGCTAGGCCTGAGCTGGAGAGGAGAGTGGTGGTGGCCCCACAAAAATCAGTTCTACCTTGCTGTTTTTAAAAATAACTAAGTTTCCATGAGGAGACAATTCCAGCTGGAAATGAGATCCTTTCTTTGTCTGTACCCCTTCACTGGGCCCTAGATATTTACTACTTGTATTGGTTATTTACCTTTTCTTGGGTATTTGCTTATCCTCAAGTAGACTGTAATTCTTCAAAGAAGGGACTCGTATCTGATGTATCTTTATATCACTATGCTTAGTACAATTCCATGCCCCAAACCAGTGTTTGATGGGTAATCTATAATCATTTCTAGTTAAATTATTCATGTTACTACTCCTAAACACACAAGAATCTGGTTCTAGATTGAAAATTAGTCCAACTTTATTCAGAGTGAAGGGGTACCCCTCTTGTTCATAAGCAAGCTGTCCCATGGCCTCTACTGTGGTGGTACTGGTAGCACCTGGTACCACAATCCTAGGGGTGATGCCAAAATGGAAGGTGAAAGGAGGTGTAATGTGTAAGAACTTGTGTTTTGTATTCTCAAAAAAGTAACTAAAATGTAATAAAGTTCATGTCACAGGCAGGCTTTAAATAATTCTTGCCTTAAAAAAACAGGTAGCACTTGGGGGCTTTGCACTCCTGCAACAGCCACCACTCCAATACTGAGGATGCACCTCTTGCCTAGGTTCCAAAGTGGTCTGTGCTAAATCACCTCTGGAAGGAAGTCTCCCAAATTGTCTTCTTCAAAATAATCCAGATCTCATCACTTCTCACGTCTCCACCACCCCCACCCTGGTCTAAGCCAACATCATTTCATCCAGCGTAATACAAGAGCTTCTTAACTGGTATCCCTTGCTCAACCCCTTGTCCCTACAGTCTGTTCTCCATACAGCAGCCAGGTGATGCTGTTAAAAATCAAGTTAGAATCACATCAGTTCCCTGCTCAAAAACCTCTAGTAGTTCCCCCTTCTCAGAGTAAAAGTCCAAATACTTATTCTGAAGGTCCTGCATGATTTCTCTCCACTCACCTCCTACTGTGCTCTCCCTTTGCTCCATCTACACTAGCCTCCTTATGGGTCTCCTATCTCTGGGCCTGTGCTCCTTCAGTTCCCTCTGTCTGGAACACTCTTAACCCAGATCTAGGGATCTCATCTCTTTTAAGTCTTTGCTGCAAAGTCGCATTTTCATTAAAGCCTTCTTCCCTGATAATCCTGTCTATACCACCCTACCCCCTTCCCTAGCACCTCCCCTCCTCCCTTTAGGCCTTATGTTCTTCCACAGCACTGATCTTTTTACATTATCCCCCCCTAAGACAATGTAAACTCCAGGAGGGCAGGAAATTTCATGTGCTTTGTTCACTGATGTGTCCTCCCTGCCTATAACTCAATAAATACTTCCTGAATGAATGAATCTTCTCCTAGGCAATCCTGATTTCCTATTTAAAGTGGCTCTAGTGATAAGCTCCAGCCTGTGGGATGTATTTTATTGAAGGTATCTGTATGCCTTTCCCCAGCCTACCTTTGTGTGAGGGAGATGCTGCACTTCACCAAAGATCGTCCACTGGACCTGACAGTGACAACAGTACAGTATGCTCATAGCCCCCCAGTCCCATCACACTGTGCGCTAGCATACAGAGGCCCTGAACTATTCTTAGCAATTGTAAACTTCATTTTTCATCTCATTTAATTCTTCCAATTCTAAGTGACATTTTCCCCCAATACAAACCAACTAAATAAGGCCTTTAATGAAAACAATTGAAAGCAAGTTCATCCTATTTCCCAGCTGTGCTGAGCAAAGCTGTCCAAACCCAGTCAGTGTAGTGACTAAGGCAGCCACAGACATGCCAAGGCCCCCTCCCCCTTCCTTTACAAGAGCAACAACCAACAATCTAAACATAAATCATTACAAAGCAGTCAGCCAAAAGGAATTTACCTGGTATGAGCCACATTACTCTCCAGGGGGTCCTTCTTCACAAACCAGCAATGACACTGTTTGTATTAATAATCCTATTTGGACATACTTTTGTTTGCGGGGCGTGGGTGGTGACTAACAAGAAGAAAATTCTAGAGTAAAAGATGCAACAAAATATGATGTTTGTTCTGAGACAAGATCCTAAATCTGAAGCATCCTTATAAGAAATTATTATCCCCCAAACTTGGGGGGTGGGGGAAGGGGGGAGGAAAGAGGTTGGGCTACCCAAACAAAACTAGGAGACAGAAGACCACTCAGACTCTGAGCCTCTTTCATTCACACCTCTGATAGAACTGAATGTGTTTGGAAATATATAGTTAACATTCAAAGCTCTTTCCACATGAGTCTGTCCCAAACCGTCAAATGTATGGTCTACTGCAGACCACCTACATCCATTTCTAAAGTAAATCTTTGCTGCAAAGAGAATACAATATAATTTCATCATGGCAATAAAGCTAAAAAAAAATTTCAGTGTGGCAATGCTATCCATAACTAACTATTCTCAAATAAGCACAGGAGTTACATGTGTAGAAGATAATTTTTAATGTATGATTCCTATGATTGGGAAAACAGAATTCATAACAAAATCATTATCATCATCAGTTATCACCAAACAACCCACTTTGATGGGACCTCCCAAGAGCTAGGAGGCCTGTCCAGTCCTGACCTCTTTCCTTTAATTCCCCACCTTATCTGACCAATGAGCATTCAATAACACCACTAAAGAATAAGTCCACATGGTTCTGGGCTGAGATTTTCTATTATCCATTCCACATTAATATTAAGACTACTGAGTTATTTGTTCTGGAAGGCAGTAGGTATGGGATATTCCTGAAATAATGGGTTCTAAGGGAGGTTGCTGATGCTGCCAACAGCTTCTGGCTGCACTGCACTGGCTGTCCTAAAGAACACCATTGAGACCTAGTCAGTCCTCTGAGAGTCAACATCCTGGCATCTGTTCAAATCTATAACCAAAGGCATCCATGTATAGAAAGTCTGAGAAAGTGTGAGAAGCAGTCCTAGATGATTATAAGCTAAGACAGACAAAATGTCTAACAGAATGTGTTATTTTTTAGGATCAAGGAACTGTTCCCAGACATTAAGAGATCTATAACTTTTAAGCTCTGGCATACGGCCACTTACCCTTCCCCCTCAGTTGATGGTCTATTAGATGGAAAGGAGTACTTGTGCCCTCTAGTGCTTCTTACCACAAAAAGAGAGGGAAAATAAGCTCCCGAAACTGTTCACCAACCTCCACATGCTGCCAGCCAGGAAGGTCATATATACCTTTCATATATAATTTCTTGGTAAAGCAAACAATTCCTTGGCATTTTCTCACAAGTCAACTTAGTGTTTTAATTAGAAGCTAATGAAATAAATAGTAGTCTATAGAATCATCATCATGTCTGCATAAGAAATTTACAACTCCTCTGCTAATTACTTAATGAAACCTTGTGCCACGGGGTGAGTTGCCTCCATAAGAGAAACAGATGTCCAGGGCAGGGATTCTAATTATATAATAATCAACAAAATAATTCAACCATTCAATTATACATTTTATACATTATTCAATTATACATTATACATTTTAGTCTTTATTAGAAAAAGACTATCAGAAAGAGCCAAACAGGATTAGCATTAAGGGAATCATCTATTGTACATTATTCAATTATACATTATACATTTTAGTCTTTATTAGAAAAAGACTATCAGAAAGAGCCAAACAGGATTAGCATTAAGGGAATCATCTATTGTCCACATTTGAATAAATTATTTACTTTTTGCTCACAAATATCAGTCCTGTCACCTTGAAGCATTTTCAATTTCCTGAACAATGAAAGAAAACACCTAATAGTCTACTTGCATATTCTGAACTTGGGCAGTAAGGGTTAAATGTGGAGAGAAAGGTGAACAGAAATAACTCTTACATGTAGCTTTAACTGTCAGAAGCAGCAAGTCCTTGCAAGGAGCATGCTTATTAGCAGCAGGAGGAGCTGCAGTGGCAAGCCAGAAACTGTTCCCACTCCAGGAGTTAAGAGTGATTTCTAATTAAGGTCCTTCGTAAAGGGACAACAAAGCAGATTTTTTTCCAGTATGCTTTTTCTTGAGAACATAATCTAATCTGGATATACCCAGACAGAACTGCCACACTCCCATGCCAGGTTCACAGCTCTTGGTACTCACCAGACCCTCTCTTTCTCAGCCAATGTTTAATATTAGAATGAGAAAGATATCACATCAGATCTTCTAGTCAGAGGAAAGGTTGACCAAGAATCATAATGTGATTAAATGAGGAGGGAAAATCTTAAGAAAAAGCATTTTACCTATCAGCTTTCTTTGTTTGAAGGTAACCACTGCTTAATTTGTGACAGAAAAATAAGTAGAGTGATTTTAAAAACATACTCATATAATCTTCTGAAGAGAGAAGCTCTTCTAATTGTACTTTCCTAGCTAATTGCAGAAAGTAATGGTAAGACCTTCAATTTAGGAACACAGTTTAACTGGAAAGCTTGACTGGAGACAACAAACAGAGCTACTACTTTTAAAATTCTGTTTTGTCTCTGACAGAAATTCACATTTGTTCCTTACTGTCACTGTTCTTGTCTTTATTACTCATGTTCTCTCCCCCAAATTTCCAAATAAATTGTGTCAGGCCTGTCAGAGTTGAATCCCAATCTCTCTTAATCTCCTGTCACTGTGCAGCTGGCAGGCTGCACACACCCCAGGCTGCTAACTATGGCTGTGGCTTTCTGATGTCTCAGGCGGACTCTTAGCCCTCTGTACAAGCCAACATTCACAATACAG